AATAAAATTTTTAAAGAAAATGAGAAACCTTCGGGGGTCAGAAATAACAAAATGAAATCGTAAGCTATATAGCAAGCCTTTTAGGCAATTCACCCCTAGAACTGCTTGCTGCCGGCGCAGTGTCGCATGTGCGGCTTCACGCTGGCCTCTGCCCCATCATATGGAGAGGTATAATCAAGGGCGGATCCAGCTTTGGCGCCAGGGGGGGGTCATATAGTCGTGGTATATTAAATATTGAAAGTACTAAAATAAAATCCCCCTGGGTTTGGTCCATCTGTACTCAGCTCAGGGGGGGGGGTCCGCCCTTGGGTATGGTATGGTAATCTACTAGGTTACTTACCTAGATTATACCTATGTATTTAAAGTATCATGTGTCTTAATCCAAGTAAGTCTTAATAAACTATATGTGCTAAATTTCATCCATTTCTGTTCAGCGATAGATGTTTGGTAGATTTCAATGCCATGGGTGTAGGCAATATTATCATCTTTTACTTATCCTTTTGTTTTAGATCATATCACCACTTGTTTCCAGTGGAGCCTTATGAAGAGTTACCCAATGAAAGTCAAGCGCAATACTGTTTTGGTTGTCTGCGTTCCTTCACAGATCTTGACAAACAAGTAAGTACATTTAATGTTTTATTTATAAGTACCTACTTACATAGTATAGTAATTGAATGAATTCAATTAGTTTTTTTTATTGTTATTATGTTTATTTACTATGAGGACCTCGATGGCAAAGTGCTTACAGCGCGTTCGGTTTGCGATCGTAGGAGTTAAGCAACTTTCGTAATGATCAATCATCGGATGGGTGACCAAGAATTTCAAACTTCCTATTTCACACATAGAGAAAGCTTGTGTCCCATCATTGGCGATGTTAACAGGCTGATGATGATAATATTATTATAATTATTGTTATTTCTATACACAATCGCACGGTTGATGAAATATGTGAAGTGCCGACATGACTTATGTACGAGCAGTTCAATATTCTAAGTGTATACGCGCCGCGTCGACTAGGTGAAGTGACGTCACACGCTGGCCTGTATATAGCGGCTCGTATATTGTAACAAGTTCGACTCAGGAACTGTAAAACTTGAAACACTTTTTTAGTATTGAGTCGGATAAACAGGCGGTTTTCAACCGCCGCCGCGCCGTCTAAAACGTTATTATCGGTTACTTTGGACAACTATCCGATAAGAACCGCTGTTTTACGACTGTAGTGGTACCTATATACGCCGGGTATCATGGTATCGCCTACTCGTGAGGTCCGGGTTCACATCCCGGTGAGGACAAATGTTACTATGATGAATACAAGCTTCGTAATTTAGTCATGGATGTCTATATGTATATATTATTTTATAAATATAGTTACTTATACAGGATGTTACAGAATTCCGAAATAAAATTTGTAAGTATCTGAGCGGGGCGCAGGGGCGCCTGGGGGAGAGAGAGGGGTCTGTTTAGGTAGTAGTAATCGTACGCATTTATAGGGTTGTCATAGGCAGGTGTAAAACGATATTTTTATTAATTTAATTAGAAAATAAAAGTGGTCTGAAAGGCGTCAAACTTTCGTAGGTTTTCGTAATTCTATACAAGGAACACAACCAAACCCTAAAGTTTTATTTCGGACTTTTGTCACACCCTGTATATGTATTCTATCCGTTACCCTAGTATCCCATAAGTAAAGCCTCACAGTGCTTTCATTGGGGCTAGGCTGATTGGTGTGATGGCGCGATTACACTTGACCGTTAGCTTGAATACGAGTGCCAATGGAATTTGGGTAAACGACTAAGTGTAAATGAACGGAGTCGAGTACGCTCGTATTCGGGTAGTTTTTGTTTTGGTTACCCGACACCGTCTTCCGGCCCATATTCCAGTTTAAATATTGTTTCGGGTGCCCGAATTCGAGTAGTGTCTCTCGTGTACCCGAATACGGACTAACGACTTAGTGTAATTGAGCCATAAGTTTGGGAAATATTATTATTATTTGTCGTACAGATACACCAATGCAAGCGGTGTCGCTCGCACTACTGCTGGGAGTGCGAAGGTTTTGTGAGCGCCACACTACACGTGTGCCCCGGCTGCGCCTCCCGCCCGCACCTCTACCAACGCCTACCTGAGGCTTCCACCACGTGATATACAATAAACGACATTTAAACATGACATTGTTTGATTTTTATGCTCCGCCCCTACTAGTGCCATAACATAACATCAAATCATTGTTTAAAATTACAAAGTACTTCGCCATACACGCAGCACCGTATAAGGCTCAATTTATACCGCCGCGACATGAATTTTTGCAACGAAATTGTACATAGCATAATGAACTTTATCTCAATTGTATAACATACAAACTTAATACAAGTAAAACATGATCTTCCGGGAAATCCTCGCGCATTATCGAGTATTCCCCTAGTTTTTGCCACGTTTTTTGCATGTTATACATTAATCACTTATATTGCATGTTATACATTAATTGACATAAAATTTATTGTGCTATGCACAATTTCGTTGCAAAAATTCGCTTCTATTCCTTTCCGTGGCCGTGTAAATTGAGCCTTACGGCTTCAATCAGCTATGAGCGAGATTCATACAGCGCTTTTTGGACAAATATTTGATGATTTTATTTTAATATCGAGTGGCTCGAGGGCCCGCGTTCGCGTTCTGTCTGCTATTATAAAGTTAAGTGACCAAAAATTTATTATCTCTGAGCATCGGTAGGCACGTTAAGCCGTCGGTCTAGGCTGCATCTGCTGTCGTTAGCATAGCATCCACCAATGCGCACTGCGGTCGCGTGGTGGATCATGAGCAAGTCTCCCTATTCCATCCATAGGGAAGGCCTATACCACAGCAGTGAGGCCATTAATAGGCTGATGACGATGTTGAATGTCTCTGGATACTATACTTACAGATAATGTTTTCTTTTAATGTCATAAAGTGGTTAATAATGGTCGATAGTAACCAAATTAGGAAAAGGAAACTTAGTCCAGTCAAATTACGGAAAAAAAAGGGCTAAAAAAACATGAGCGAGCACAGTTTGGGGATTTTGAGGATCGATAGGGGGGTGCACCCTGAGCTTAAGTTCCAATTTGAGGGGCTGTACTGAGGTCAGCTCAAGGTCATTTCGATGCAAACGCGTTTAATTCGATATCTCGAGAAATATCAGTGTTAGCCAAAAAAATATAGAGACCTTTTTTCTTCTAAATGAAATTTATTAACTTTTTTATTTAAAACTTTTTTTTGTAACATCAATATTTTTTAAGTTATTACTCCCGCAAGGCAAAAATTTCATTTTTTTCCCTATTTTTCGTCGTTTTCTCCCCAAACATTCAATTTTATTGAATTTTACTGATCATCAACGTGTATGTCTTTTAATTATGCACAATTTTGTTCTTAAACTTTTTTCTGTAACTTCAATACCTTCGGAGTTATTCGACCTCGGGTGCTTAATTTTCCGAATTTTATAACCTATTTTTTGTATCAATAAATGTGTGAAACAGTTTTAATTGTTAATTTACTTGTTACCCAAACAAACCCATAAATTTACCCAAATTAAATACCCAATTTTTAAATAGTTTAATCGATTTACCCTTTTATATTGCGACAGTGGCGTGGATTTCGCTCGGTAAAATAATATATAACTCCGAAGGTATTGAAGTTACAGAAAAAAGTTTAAGAACAAAATTGTGCATAATTAAAAGATATACACGTTGATGATCGGTAAAATTCAATAAAATTGAATGTTTGGGGAGAAAACGACGAAAAATGGGGAAAAAAATGAAATTTTTGCCTTGCGGGAGTAATAACTTAAAAAATATTGATGTTACAAAAAAAAGTTTTAAATAAAAAAGTTAATAAATTTCATTTAGAAGAAAAAAGGTCTCTATATTTTTTTGGCTAATACTGATATTTCTCGAGATATCGAATTAAACGCGTTTGCATCGAAATGACCTTGAGCTGACCTCAGTACAGCCCCTCAAATTGGAACTTAAGCTCAGGATGCACCCCCCTAACGATCCTCAAAATCCCCAAACTGTGTTCGCTCATGTTTATTTGATTCCGTAATTTGACTGGACTAACTACAAAATGATTAAACTATGTGATATATAATATAATATTCGTTTATTATAAATAACATATTATATCACAATTTGTAAATTTCATCTAATATTAATAGAAAAATACGTCTAAATACATGGTTTGAAAAGCACCTACATAATATTATGTACGTACACCGCGGTCAAAACATCACAGATCAAAATCTCTTATAAAACAAGCAAAATTTTTATTCGCGAAGAAATTTTTTCAGGCGTACAGTTTTACTTATACCTACAGTAAAATTCGTCTAGAAATTAATAACAATAATTTAAAATTTTATATGCTTCACGTTTCTAAATACAGTTTAATGAAACGTCTTCTTTGTTGTGGCACACTTACTTAAAACATCACAGTGCTTTGATTGTTATAATAACACATTTGGTCGTTATACCTTGATTAATCAGGGCATCTAAAACTTATCACGTTATATACTTATTTGTTACAACCTAAGTACCTATAGAGATTTTTCAATTCATATTAATCACATTACTTTAACATCATTTCTTAATATTTTGAAACGTTTGGAATTCAACACTGCTTGGACATTTAAATTTCATTAGTACTTACATCATACCTAGCCAGATAATCTTTTTCTAAAAGCGGGACTTCACGACCTCAGCAATGCCACTTATGGCTTTGGTAGCTAGATGAATATGTCCAGGGGGCCAATCGCCTAACAGGATTGCTTTGGAAAACGCTATCGCTTACGATTTCATTTTGTTATTTCTAGCCGCCTGAGGTTTTCAAATGCCTCGCGCTCTTTTTTTTTCTTTTGCATTGATAATAACAATGTTAAAGAAAATGAGCGTGAGGTATTTGAAAACCTTCGGCGGTCAGAAATAACAAAATGAAATCGTAAGCGATAGCGTTTTCCAAAGCAATCTGGTTAGGCGATTGGCCCACAGAACAAATATTGTCATGTTCGGCAAAATTTCCCTGATACGATGATAGGTTTTAACTTGGCGCATTTTGTCTTTTTTTGCTACCAGGCCGAAATAGGATATCAATACTATGCATATTAAGTAGGTACAATAAAATCAGAGTTTAGGGTGTGGTTAAGCTACCTAGAATAAAACTAAACCCTTTCTTTTCTTAGTTTAACGGTTTAACAAAGTTTTTTATAACACATACAAAATCCTTTGCTATTATTATATGACGTTTTCTTCAAGTTGTATTTAACGCCAGACTTACTTTTTTGTGGTAGGTTAAGTATATTAGATTATTTACAGATGCCGTTAATAGTATACATAACACTGCATAATAATATTTATTACCAAGTAGACGACAGTATTGGCAACCTGGTGGTAAGTAATAAGATTAAGTTACATAGATACCACCACAGTTTGTGATTTAATCGTAGCGAATTCCTTGGTACCACTGGCTTTCATGTATTGCTAAAAACTTTCATTTCCGCAGTCTTTTAAAAACCACATCGCATTGGTTTCGGTCGGTCAGATCTCCTTATACTTTGGTGTCGCAGGCGTCCATAGGTCACTGTAACCGCTTACCATCAGCATGCTGTATGCATGTTTGCCTTCCGACCAAAAATTATGCAAAAACAGAAAGCGTAAACACGTTTTAACAGTTTGTAATTTTTACTTAATAATTACCAATTGAAATTAATAACTCGCTTCACGATTTTATAAATAAGTAAGTACCTTAAATATACATGTGACTGTCTTACAAAGCGTTTATTTCTCCTGTGTTTTTCTTACGCGTCACCCACAATATATTGGACTTTTGGTAATACTGTTCTATTTGCAAAAGCGATTTGCCTTTAGTTTCGGGCAGCATCAAGAAGAGGACAACAGTGGCGAGGGCAGCCGACAAACCGAACATGCCAAACACTCCCGCCATGCCGATGGCGTTCTTCATCACTGGATACAATTTGGTGAATCCGAAGAGGACTGTGTTGAAAATACAGAATATGTAACCTCCGCAGAGACCTCGCACTTTGGTGGGAAGGAGTTCACCTATCATAAGGCCGGGGAGCAGGAAGAAGCCCAGTGTGTTGAAGGCGACGTAGGCGAGAATGAGGGTGGGTGGTAGGAATCCGGAGCCCTGGCCCTGCGACAGAATGAAGGCAAGAACGAGCGTGCAGAAGGCGGTGCCGGCGCCCGATATCAATACCAGCGCACGTCGCGTGATTTTCAGAAGCATTATGCAGGCTATAACTGTTACCGCAAGTCTGACTAAGGCACTAGCGTTGGCTGCCATCTGTAACAAAATATATTGTTATTGGTAAGTAAACTATTACAGTAGACGTGGTTATCTTACATTCTAGACAGACAGACTGCATTTTATCTGCCTTATTTGGACTGTAGTTTAACTGGATTGCAGTTTGATGGCGCAGTGGTTAGCGCATGCGTTCTGCGATCGTGAAAGTTTCGCAATGGCCGGTCACAGGAAGGTGACAAAAAATATTTAATTACTTACCTCGATTTTTCTGTGCTCCGTAAGACCTCAAACTGCAACTGTTAGCACTCACCAATTAGCACTGGGACCGTGTGGTGGATCAATTTTCGCTAATCCATTCATAGAGAAGTCATGCTCGCTAACAGGAGGCATTAAGAGGTTAATGTTGAAAGCTTTGTACGTACAGTCTGATTGTAACCATCGCACAGTGCTGTATTTCATGTAAGATTGTTAAACCTATTCCCTTACACTCTTACTCCCATTATTTATTATTACTCCTTTTATTTATTTTCTGTTTCGTTTCCTTTCCTCTCCTCTTCTTTCGCCTCTCACTATTATTAAACCGTCCTCTCCTCTCCCTGTCTTTCCCACCCATTCGGCCTCCCTGGCTGCATCTCGACGCGGCCTCGATGGGGCTACTCTACCAACTATCGAATCCTCTACATCACAATTATGTTATATTCATCAACTTAAAATGTAATAAATAAATAAGTGTTTTTAATAAAAAAAAACATCGCACAGTGGGTATGTAGTTTTCATGACAATGAGTTGGCTAGCGCAGTTTCTTGCAAATGTGTAATGTGCATTCAACGCGTTGATGCGCAGTAGGGGCTTCATGACGGGCGTATTGAGTGGATGTCACTGCAAACCTAATCACCCATAACTTTACCTAAATAAAATAGGAGTTACACTCACGTGAGGTTGTAGTGAACCGCCAGAATCGCGCACTATGTCGACGGCGTAGAATATGACCACGTAGCTCCCGGATAGGATTTGCAGCAGGTTGAATGCGTTGATGAGAAGAAGGGGCTTCATGACGGGCGCACGTCGAACCGTCGCTAGGAACCTGAGGCGCTCTTCACCTCGTGCCTTCTCTTTTTCCCGGGCCGATATCAGTTCGTGGAGCTCTCTCTGTGCCTGCACGAGTTTAAAAAGTTAAACATTTATATTAATACTAGCTGTCCCAGCGAACTTCGTACCGCCTTAAAAAATAGGGGTTAGTGGTAGAAGGGTGAAAATTTAGGGTTGTATTAAAAAAAAATCAAAACAAATTGTCAGAAAAAAAAACAATTTAAGGTAATTTACCCTTAACATTTAGGGGGGTGAAAAATAGATGTTGTCCGATTCTCAGACCTACTGAATATGCATATAAAATTTCACGAAAATCGGTCGAGCCTTTTCAGAGTAGTTCAATAACGCACACCGTGACATGAGATTTTTATACATTAGATATTTTAAACGATCACGGCCAGTTGCCGCAACGAACAGATTAATTGCGCGAGGTGCCTAAACTGTTTGATTTAATATATGTATAGAGAAAACTTATCTAGAAAAAATCCAATGTCTTCAGGCTGGATATTTTGTTTATACGTTTATGAGTGTTGAATAGAAGGAGCTAGATGTCGCAATTTTTATAGCGCATCAGTTTGCGTTCGTAGAAGTTGAGCAACTTTTGCAAGGTATGGGTGAGTAAAAGTATATTACTTATTTCGAGTTCCTCTGTGCATCAGGAGGCACATGAGACTAAAGGATTTTATATGTTTTTTTATTTGGAGTGGTCGAACTACATCAGCAGGGGTTAGCGTATTCTGTCTGCGACTTCCCTCAGCCGCAGATAGACTAACATTGCAGTTTCAATGCTATTACATTAAAACATCTTAAACTTAATAGATTTCAATGCTGACGCACTAAGCAGTGCGTTCACCTGCGACCGTGGAACTTGGAACCTTGCAACTCTCGCAATGGCCGGTCGAGCTCGAGTATATGTAGCGGCAAACTTCTTGAGCAAAATTTCAAAATTGCGCAGTAGGTAGAAGTTTATGTATGTAAAATTGCTACTGCGCATGCTTTCTTGTCTATGGTTGTTACTCACAAAGTTTGCCGGGGTGTATACCTCTGTGCTTCGGATGGCACGTTGAGCAGTTGCTCCTTGGTGCGGCTGCATTTGCGTTGTTAACGCCTACTAATCCGTATTGGGTCTGCACCCCTATCAGATGGACCGGTAACAGGGTCGACTCACAGGTATTACCTTCTAGCAGCAGTGATTTATGTCTATACTATGTCTGTTACTACCAATAATTTTACTAGAAGAAACAGTCGTAAAATGGAATTTGCCTTAAATAGTAAGTGGTTAAGCTACTTCCTATAAGTTGTCAATAGATTTATCGCTTACGGGTCAGGCCGTAAATTTTGCCACATTAGTTATAACTCTCCGCCACATTTTAAAAAAAAAGTACGGTACTTAATTACATTTTTTTTAATAATACAATCATATTTCCTCACAAATGGTGAATCGCGATCAATAAATATATTTAAATATCTTCAAAACCTTAGAAATTTATAAAAATTTGCTACAAAAAGCGATGAATTTTTCGTAAAATACGCTTATCCGTCCCGGTAGAGGTGCACTTTGAGCATCAGTAAAATCAAAAATAAAAATCTTTTTGATAGTCTGTTTGCTTTAACGCTGTACAATAATAGTTAGCTAGCCACATTTTAAATATAGTGTTTTATTTTGTAGCACTGTCCTTACGTTACATATCTTGTATGCACTCCTTAACAATTTTGCGTTACCATTTTGCGTCACTCTGCGCTATGGACTCGTAGAAATTTTTGCGACACCATTGCGCTATTTGTGGCAAAATCTACGGCCTGACCCTTACGGTATTTAAGTAAGAATAATATAGATTAATACTTGATAATAAATTTTAAGTATACATACTACATGGAAAATATCTAGGTACTTAGTCGTTCATTATTTATTGACGACCTCCGTGACCGAGTGTATGGTATGTACGTCGGGTTTCAAGGTGTCGCCTGCTCGAGAGGCCCGGGTTCGAAGCCCGGTGGGGACAGATGTTTGTGTGATGAATACGAGCATTTGTACTCCAGTCATGGATATTTAATATGTATTTCTATATAAATATAATTTAATACGTATACTTATATAACATAACATGTATCAGTATATGTATTCTATCCTTTACCCTAGTATCACATATTATATTAACACAAGCATACAGTGCTTCCTTTGGGGATAGGCTAATTGGTGTGAGTGTTGGAAATATTTATTTATTTATCAATTCGAATACTGAATGAGTAGATAATTCTCATTAGTATAGATAGTCGTAGGTAACGATAAAAAAGACTAGAATGTAAACAGATGTCTTGATAAACTTATTCAATAATTTATCCATATAGATTTAACCCCACCTACCTACAAGTATATTTCAATTCTAGACAAAGAACAAAACTAGTTGCCGAGTACATATTTACTTCGCTAAATTAAACAATTACTTAAGTAAAAAAGCATTAAAGTTTTTTTTATCGGTAATAACCTTTATTTCAGGTTCATATTTACAATTTGTTTTGGTTTACTAATACACACTTATTAGGTCGGCATCTACAAAAAGTCTGCTAGGTAGACTTCTAGGTACTGCGACGTATGGAGAAAATATTTTTTTAATATGAATAGGTACTAACATAAGTATGTATGTACTTAAGAAATATTTTAAGTATATCAAGTTAAGAAACGACAATAGCAAAAATACTCAGACTAGCCGGAAAGTATTTTTATCTGACTAATCAGTAGGTAATTTCTAAAACAATGGTATGGTGCACTCAAAACAAAAATGCAAGACTTTATATTTTCAAACACGTTCAGCAATATCGGTATCCTTACGCTATATTAGACCACGGATTAGAAAATAACACTAAAAGCTGAAAAGTAATTGGATGGACTCAGTCATTACTAGACCACTGTTTAAATAAAATAGTGGGACATAGATTAGAGCGCTACCTGCGTAAATAAGAATGTTTTTATACGAGAGTATCTTAATAAAAATTCAAATTGTTGCTACATCTAATTTATAAGAATTATGCAATTTTATTTATGTATCCCAGTCCATTATGAGGAAGTGATGTAAATAAAAACTAAGCTGGCGTTGCAGATTTCCGCTTGAATCGAAGCCCTGTATGTTTAACCTGCAGCGGAATAAATCTATTTTTGTGCTTTCCGGCAGTGACTTTTGTCATTAATTTCTATTTTTCTGTAGCTTGGTAGTGAGGATCGGGTGCACATTACGTGTTATCGCATCAGCTACCTACTTATTTGCAACTAGGATGCGATTTCTATAATACCACAAAATTTTCACTTTCGTCATATTATTGACGTCTCTTTAACATAATGTCTCTTTAATTTTAAGTAAATTAAGGCTATTCTATTAGAGCTTAGTATTAGAGCCATATATTAGAGTTGAGTATCTTTAAAAATGTAAGTCGACTCTAAATTCCACGCGCACTCCATATAATAGGAGGAGATGGCGATGTTATTTGCTAAGCATTCCAACAGAAAATATTCATTTCTGTATGTGCGTGTGGACTGAGTGATCTTTTCAAAAAACTCATCCAACCACAACCAAATTATAAGAGGATTTAGGAAATAATTGTGAAAACTTAATGGTAAGGTATAAAATTTGTGAAACCTAAACAAAGAAAGTTAGAACTAATTAACTGGATCACGCAATCTGGACACCTGAAGAATAAGCCATAACGTGTATCCAAGAAAATACAACCTATGTGTTTATAATTTGTATTTGAAATAATTGTGAAGAATTTGTGAAAGCTGTTAAACAAATCGATTCATTTCAAAGCCACTTTAAGATTTAGAACGGTTTATATGGATCACTCAGAATGCACTATGTTCATTTGAGTGATCTTTTAAAACACTACCTTATACTGAAAAAGTATGAAAGATTATCATGTTTATTATAAATTATGCTTCTGGGAAAATTTGTGAAACAAAGATTGGGATTGAAATCTTACCGGTTTAAGAGAAAATGAAAATCTTGTTTTTTCTCGATCGTCCCAACTGTGTGATCCTTATCTGGAACTATATTTAATAAACCCAAACTTATAGGTAGAAGGTAGTTACATCAGAAATTGTGAAAAATGTTGTACTAAAATTTGTCGTCCCAATCGTCCCTGTAAGTGTTATATTCGGCGTTTCGACTTGTAGCGTGTAAAATTTCACAAAGTTGTGATTTTGACTTAGAGGGTCAGACAAGAATTGGAAGTGACTGTGCGTGGCTTCATCTCCAAATGATCAAGCAGCGTAACGTATAGGTATGCCAGCTCCCGGATTTTCAGGGATGCTTCAGTCCGCTTAAGAGTTAGGCAGATTTTGTCCCCGATATCAGTTATTGTATCATATCGCTTATAATTTATTCCATAAGTTGTAGCAATATAATTTTAGAATATTAAGTTGTAGAAATATTACTAATCAAAGCGCCATCTATCACCATACGTATCCATCATCTAACAATGTAATGGGTCTTAAAGAAGCACAGAATATATTATAAAAAGAAAAATATGATAGTTGTATTTGAATGATGAGATAGATGGAGTTGTATTTAATAGTGTTAAATGAAATTACACGTATTGATGACGTGATTAGCTATTGTTCAGGAAGCAGTTTCTTGGAGGGAGATGGGCGTAGCCGTATTAACCGGTCCTGTCAATTCCTCGCACCAAATATGGTGATTTGAGAGAAATTTGCTAGGACGCCGTCACGTGATCCTAGGCCACTATAAATAGCTTTGCGCAGACGATTTCACTCTCTTTTGTCTGCGAACCGAACACTTGAACATCTAGTAAATTGCACAGTGACTGGAAAGTATAGTCAGTGCATAATTAATTAAAATATTTTCCCCGGATTAACGGGTAAGTCCAATATAACTAACTGTTTAGGCTGTAGGTCAAGTTAGGTTTTTTTTTTATTGAACTATAGAAAAACGTGTAATTGTTTCTAGGTCCTTTGAAGTGGCTAATTAAAAACAGTATACGATAATCACAACTACTTAATCCTGGTTGGGATTTCTTTGGAAATATAAATATAAATATAAATGAGCCTGTGAAGCATTCTTGATCGAAAGTAGACGGGTTCATGTGATGACAGCACGTCCTGATTCATTCCTGAGGACATTTGAGTCACCTTGATGTTCCCGTGGTCTTAAAGCTAAGTAAAACTTATACCTTCTCAATATTTAACCGGTGCATACTCCGAAGAACAAAATTTCTGTTTAACGTAATAAAATATTTATATTAGTAAACTATAAAGCCACTATAAGAAGAATTCAAATTTCATTACATATTGTTTGTTATTTTCCAAAACCAAATGTTTATATAAAATGTTTAAATAAATATTTCTGCATTTACACATGTTCTTGAATGTATGAACATCACTGAAGTTAAAATCTTTGAGGTTGTAAAAGCTGTATATTTATAAAGTTGTCTACAAATAGTATTAATTTTGTTAAGTATGATGAAATAAGATCTGAATATTAACAATATATATCTTGTTCACTGCGGTTCTTGACATTTTTATTTATCTCCCTCAAATAACAGTATTACGGCGCCCTGAATATAGAATCTTTTAATCTTGAGTCTCATGTAAACCCTGAAAAAGTCGGTGGTAACTAAAATTGTTACAAAGTACGTATTCGTGTTACATAGAATAAGTAACTTACATAAGTACTTAAAGTACCAATAAATATATGGCAACTTACATTTTCCAGAATATTCGCGTCAATTTATACCTAAGCTTTAAGCAAGCTTGTTGAGTTTATTAAAAGGTGGCCATACAAGATTGTTTGCTTTGCGAAATAGTAGTTTCATATTTCTATGTGGTAAAAACTACGCCACGTGAAGTGTCACTACTGTTTTATTAGCCTCAAGTAGATAATAATTGTTTTTTAAATGAATGATGTATGTCGGTAGGTATAAAGAAGTAACTAACTGCTAGTGACCGACCGAAACATGTTATTTTGCCGAAACCGAAACCGAAACCGAAGGTTCGGTTTCATTGTAGTTTCGGCCGAAACCGAAACCGAAACCGAACCTTTTATAAAAAAAAAGTCGAAAAAATGTTAGTAAGCCCGTTTTTTTTGTAAAATTAATGTCTCGCCGAGCTATAATTACAGGTTTCTACTTTCAAAGATTTATCACAATGAAATTACAGCACAGTTACAAAGGTTCTGTTTGAAAATTTAACTACCCTATAAAGTGAAAAAAATACATTACTTGTAACACAAAGTTAGCGATTTTTTAATGGTGGTATAAAATAAAACAAAGGAGATGGCTCAGCTTCCATACTTGTTTGGCCTAAAGACCAATAATCATAAAAAAATGTTTCCTAGATTCGAAATTATATATAAATTACTGTAGCAACGAATATTATTGACGGACACCCATAAGAACTTCTACAAACCATATACACTGAATGATTTTGAGGTTATGTTTGCAAATAGGTACTTAAGTATTAAAATAATAAAAAACAAATAAGTTATATAGTAAGCTAGGGAAATCAAGCCAAGTACAGAAATTATGTATTAGATTCAGGTACATAAAGCATGTAGATTAAAAGATAGTTGCCTGTTTTTAGTTAATGCACAAGAGTTACTTTTAAAATCAGGTATCATCTATGCATATCCGGTTATAATAACTCTGTGACAGAAACTGTGTGATGATTGTGAATGAGCCACAGATTAGAGAGAATTTTTAAACTCTCGTTAACCAAAGAAAGCTAAGAGATTTAGGTTACAGCTACATCTTCAGTTGCGTCATTATTTTTGTTATGTTTATATTATAACCATATTTTAGATTTTTGGTGTATCACACCTTATAATGTGTTTATGGAGGTGTTTGGCAAAAATGTATGGCAATAGACTTTATGATGTCGCCTACCATCTATAATAATTGTCTTAGCACATTTTCATGTAGAGAAAATGATAATATAATTGTGGATATTAATACCACAGTGTATTTTATCCATCTTTACAAAATATATTTGTTTTGATGTTATATAAACAACTTCGATCTGTCTTTGGCTGAATGTTACTACACCCATAGCCATTAAAAATTATTCGTATGTTTTCCAAACCGGTAAAATTAAAAGTCCTTTTTAAAATGAATATATTGTACAAAAGTGTCCGTTAAAATCTAATGACTGTAAAACAATATTGTTTGTACATTTGGGCTAATTTGAACAATCTCCTTTATTATTAAAATATGATGCTCATATATGTTTATTTATTTTCAGTTACTTACATTTTAATTATACTCACAAATATCACAATCAGTTAGCCTCGAATGGCTAATTCAAATATACCTATTTAGATAATCAAAATAATCAAATTGATCACCTTTGGTAATCATTTTAGCGAACCTTTTATAGTAACAAATCTATACTTATACTTTTTATTTTTTATAACTAATTATCTAATTCAAAATAATATAACGTCTACACGAGCAAAGCGCACTGATTTAGGTAGTTACCGGCGGAGTCAGGCGAGCGACGCCATATTGCCAGCCGTGCCGAGCGCGCCCGACGTTAGCCGAGCGCGACCCGAAGGTACGATGTTGTAAGTTTCGGCGCGGCCGAAAGGTTCGGCCGTTTTTGGCCGAAACCGAAACTCGGGCCGAAACTTGATTTTTTGGCCGAAACTGGCCGAAACCGAAACCGAAACCGAAATTTCGGTCGGACACTACTAACTGCCTTCGTTTTATGTCCTTTTGATTTCCTTGTATGTGATAGGGAAGTTCTTTTAAACGTTTCCTCACTGTATATTGCTTAATACTTAATTAGTGAATTATGTTGGTAGTGTAATCAGTTTTAAAATAGTACTTATATTACAGTACCCCTACTTAATTCTAACATTTGTTCGTACATTTAGCTTCGTTTGCTTTTTTTTAACATACCTACATAAGTATCAATTTCATTTAAGCATAATAATACTACTTTTTAAATCAGGTTCGATACACTTCATTAATTTCAACGCGGCAGTCACTCGGACGCGGAAGATGCCGAAGACCACTTTTTTTAATTAACTTTGTTTTTAAGTTCTTCATCAGTTCCGATTCCGAATCTAATATAAAAAAAACCGGCCAAGTGCGTGTCGTGCCACGCGCAGTGTAGGGTTCAAGAATTTCCTGACGTGGCCAATCTTTTCAAGTGCTTATTTATATATATATACTCTTTATAATTTAACGATAGCGCGATTCAGAAGCCGTTGCCGTTGGTGCGCTATTACTCTTATTTCGCTTATTTACTTTACTTAAACAAAAATTAGCACTTTAATGTTCAATATTTCGCAAACGGATCCCTAAATTGAATAATAGTCTTAGGCAGCCCTTAGTAATTTTAAAGGACCTATTCATCGATACCTACCCCATTCGATGGGGCAGACGATGAAAAAAAATCATCCTCAGGTTACATGTAGGGCAGCTATCCTTAAAAAAAATATCGAAATTTTATTCTATTTTGTCGGTTTGATTGATATACATATCACCACAAAATTACAGCTCTCTTGTACTAACGCAACGCTAAGCAAAACCGGGGACGGACAGACAGACGGACATGACGAAACTATTAGGGTTCCTAGTCAGGACTACGGAACCGTAAAAAGTAAAGAGTTGCATTACAAAAAAGGTCGGTTACTTACAATTTCAGGGTTACCACGGAGTCTGGACATGGCTGCCATAGCATCGTGGAAGCGACCTCGGCGAGCTAGCCAAGTGGGGCTCTCGGGTGAGAAGCAGAGCGCTATGAAGGCTAGCACCGGCAGTAGTATGGATAGGAAGGCGACAGTCCGCCATGGTAACGCTCCACCCAATGCGTAGACGTACAGTACACCCAAGGAGTACGCCACGAATGGAGTACCTATTAGAAGACCTCGTAGACGCGGTTCCGAAATTTCTCCCAAGTACACCTAGAAGAAAAAACAAATACTTAGATTATATTATTATTAGGTACTAACTTTTTTAAACACGTGATAATTGAATAAGATCGATATTCGTCGTTTCCAAATGCCTCGCGCTCCTTTTTGCTTTTGAAATCGTTAACGATAGTGATTGTTATAGCATTCTTGTTAGGCGATTGGCCCCCAGATAATAGAAACGATGACTTTCATGACCGTGTCGTGTGTTTTGGCCAAATGATAAGTGTTTTCGTTAGGTACCTATTTTCTTAAATCAATCTACATTTGGCCAATATGACAAGCAAGTATGTAAACTTGAAAGGTTTATGGCACATTCTAAAAAATACTTGTATACCTTTACGACGAATTTAGGGCCTACTCCTGTTTTGTTTGAAGTCGCATAAAGAAGAAAAAACGTAATGATGTATTTAAAAAAAAAATGGGTGCGTGTACTTATGTAGGCGCGTGAGAAGTTATCCTTCTTTGGCATCGTTTAAAATTAGTTTTTAATTGCATGCAAATAATTCATTACAATAAATTAATAAAAAGTCTGGAAAAGGACACAGTCAATAAAGTTCAGTTTTAATTTGAAAAAATAAATAAATAATCAAACTATTCAATTAAAATCGCTACTGAATATAATTTAACAGAACATATGTGATTTGCACTTGTATGAAACTCAAACACTTATTCCGAATATACAAACTAGAAACATGTGGATAAATATTATAAATATGAATACCTATAACTGTTACTTTATTACAAAAAATAAAGATGTGGTTTTTGGTTCTACTACACCAATGGTCAAGAGATGGCGCTGTAGTCTCCTGAATCGCGCTTTGGTTCCGTTGTTCCAGATTAATAAATACTTTTTGTTACTTTATTACAAAAAATAAAGATGTGGTTTTTGATTCTACTACACCAATGGTCAAGAGATGGCGCTGTAGTCTCCTGAATTGCGCTTTGGTTCCGTTGTTCCAGATTAATAAATACTTTTGATAAGCCTTCACAATGCAGTCGTTAGCACCCACTAAATAGAGATTCTATTTCTATTTTGTTGGTAGATTTTCTTAATGTGCGGTAAACACAAAAGTAACGCATGAAGTTGGTCGCTAAAGCGACCAACTTCATTATGTTAAAATTTTGTGTTACATGATGCGCGCGCATCTTAAAATTTCACTCTCATCATTTTTTCATAACGCGCCTAAAGAAGTATAACTTCAAAAAACGATATACTCATTTAACTTTTAACTATGGTAAAAACAAAAAGCTTTTTCCTTTTTGTTTTAATCTAAGATGGTAACTAAAGGTTCACTATAGTTTGAGCGTAGTTGTGAGTTTAGCTGTTCACATAATCATACCTTCGCTAATTCTTTTACATATCATGTTGTATATACCCAGCGGTTTTATGCTATTTCATAAATGGTCAAACATATCGGGAAACGATCAATTTTAAAATCTGGCCACGACATACATTTGTTGTCCACTGTACAAAAGCTCGATACAACTCTACAGAAGACTCTAGAAGAGGGCGTTCGTTGATAATAAGTCTGTATTGCAATGTTTAAAGCCCACTGACGCTGAATGCATTAGAGGTCAATCAACCAATGCTGTCTTCTGATCACTGAAATGGGTCAGTCGATGCAAAACAAATACAAATAGATTCAGCATTGGACGTCAACGTCAGTGAATCGGTGTGTTGTTTCCATGATGTAATTTAGAATCCGATACCAATGCTCGCTATTTTAACTGGAATCTGCTGCATCAATCAATCAAAAAGTTATTTTGATTAATAATATTTTACCGATCACTGATCAATAATTTATCACCGCTTGTAAGTAAAAGCACAGATTACTAGTAAAAGTTACAAATAGATAGACAGAATAAAAACTATAGATATTATATTATGGTAAAACAAGAAGTAATAAGGAGTGATCGAGGAGTTAGAAGAAATAATACACATTACGTCAAACGATAATAATAATTTAAAAAAAACCGACGAATTGAGAAACTTCCTTAAGAAAAGTTTACTAGAAAAAAAAACCCGTCCGCTGCCTGGTCTGCGTGGAGTTTTTTCTAGTAAACTTTTCTTTAGATTTAAACATCTAGCAATTAAATGCTTAAAAATAAATAAAAAATGGGTGCGTGTACTTATGTAGGCGCGTGAGAAGTTATCCTTCTTTGGCATCGTTTAAAATTAGTTTTTAATTGCATGCAAATAATTAATTACAATAAATTAATAAAAAGTCTGGAAAAGGACACAGTCAATAAAGTTCAGTTTTAATTTGAAAAAATAAATAAATAATCAAAATATTCAATTAAAATCGCTACTGAATATAATTTATTAGAATATATGTGATTTGCACTTGTATGAAACTCAAACACGTATTCCGAATATACAAACTAGAAACATGTGGATAAATATTATAAATATGAATACCTATAACTGTTACTTTATTACAAAGAATAAAGATGTGGTTTTTGGTTCTACTACACGAATGGTCAAGAGATGGCGCTGTAGTCTCCTGAATCGCGCTTTGGTTCCGTTGTTCCAGATTAATAAATACTTTTGATATTATAAATATGAAAACCTATAACTGTTACTTTATTACAAAAATTAAAGATGTGGTTTTTGGTTCTACTACACCAATGGTCAAGAGATGGCGCTGTAGTCTCCTGAATCGCGCTTTGGTTCCGTTGTTCCAGATTAATAAATACTTTTGATAGGCCTTCACAATGCAGTCGTTAGCACCCACTAAATAGAGATTCTATTTCTATTTTGTTGGTAGATTTTCTTAATGTGCGGTAAACACAAAAGTAACGCATGAAGTTGGTCACTAAAGCGACCAACTTCATGCTGTTAAAATTTTGTGTTACAGTGTGCGCGCGCATCTTAAAATTTCACTCTCATCATTTTTTCATAACGCGCCTAAAGAAGTATAACTTCAAAAATATAACCTTTTCCTTTTTTAAAGTCGGTTAAAAATAATATAAAATTAGGTATCATACAATGCAGGCAGGCAGACTGATGTTTAATCGTATGATTATAAATGGGTTTAATTCCGAACCTGCGATGGCGCGGCCATGATGCCGACTGCGAACCCGCAAGCTATCCGGCCTAGCAGCAACACGGCATGGTGTGCGGCCGTGCCTATGATGACCCAGCCGATGATAAGGGGCAGCACGCAGGCCTGCAGCGTCCGCCGCCGCCCTATGGCCTCCATGATCGGCCCAGACAGCATGGACCCGAGCGGGGTAGCCGCAGAGTGGATACTGGCTGTAGAACAAATTATACCTAACTCTTACCATCTTCAGAAGATTTCTAATGTACCCACCACCGATATTAAAAACCCCACTAATGGTCTATGCTGTTTATAGACAGAATCATATACGGGAGGGTTCAGTAGCAGATTATTATTTAGTAAATTATTTTTATTCTCAGAACCGACCACAGGCTGCGCCAAGTTTATTTTTCGCGTTTGGACATTATCACCACTTAACATCATTTGGGGAAGACTCATCTGCCTACCTCGCTTTAAAAGACAAACTATATTAGTTGCAGATTGCAGAGAGATAATAAATTCGAGGTATTTAATATAGAGCTTAAAGCTATAGCAGAGTGCAAAAGTTACTGCGGAGCCGATCGCTAGTGTTAAATTATAGCAAATTAAGTTGTTTAGTACATTTAAGTACTGGTTTCTCGTTCAAGAGCGATGTGAGACGTGTACATACCAAGCTATTTAAGTGTATGCGATCTTGTTGGTCACGCAATCTTTTGTTGCTCATACCAAACAATACACTTCGGATCGAATGGCCGATTGAAAATTGTATACATTTGCGACTCGACACAACCCGTTTATTAATATACACACAATACTCCTTATGTGTTTTTGTGAGATTGTGTGGTGGAGCGGTTTTCCGCCCGATGACGTTTTAGAGTCCACAATGCAGATGATTTATGTTATTTTGTACTGTTTCTTCTAAAGTGGAACTTTTATTCCATCTCACCATAAAACTTAAGATTCATCTTTAGCATGTCGCATTACATTTTTAATTGTTATTATAAAATTCAGACCATATGAACAAACATCGGTGGTTCAGCGGTAGAAAGCTCGCCTGCCATTTGGGCGGCCCGGGTTGATTGACTTAATATAGCTTCTGCCGCTCCTCACAGCCTGCCGCCTCAGGCCACGACCCTCTTGGCCCTAGGGTAGATGCGCCCCTGGGCACCGGGGCGGCAGGCTGCGTGAGACGACTACCAGGGGCCAATCGCCTAACGGGATTGCTATGGCTATCGCTATTTGACAAGCTGCGGCGGTCATAAATTACAAAAGAAAATCGTAAGCTATAGCAATACCCTCCGGCATTTGACCCCCAGAGCTTCGAAGGGCGGAAAAAGCCATATAAAGGTTTTTTTTTACTCATTTGATTAACTAATACTAGAGGGGCGGGGGAGAGGATGCTAATGGTAAATGGCCCGGGGCGCCATGTAACGTTGTGCGTTAGTTTGGGCCCTATAATAACAATAAGTTTTATAAAATTTAACCTAAATATTCTTAAGTTTTAACGTAAACTGCGTTAAAGGCAAAAATATTACACAACGGAGTTTTTTAAACTGTGATCATATGAACATATAATAGTGTCATAATAAATAGATTTTTTCTTCAGATTTTACGTCCTACGTGGTGTAAGCGGTAATGTATAGCGGTTTTCAAGGTTTCGCTTACTCAGCACAGAAGTTCGATAATCGGCGGGGAAAATATTTGTATGACGATTTCAGATGTTTATAGTAAATATTTTTTATAAAGTGGAAATATTAGAACAGTTGTACTACTATATATACTCCGCAAGCTAGATAAGGCGTAAATTTAATAGGTATTAATTATAGTATATTATTCCGAAACATAAAACAGAAATGAATACATACTATCTAAATAATGTCGCTCGTGTTGTATTGTGTTTTGTTTTACAAACAAAAGGAACACAAAATATTAGCAAGGAGCCCAGACAACGCTTAAATATAAAATCAACTATCAATCAACGTTTCTAAAATAGATGCTAAATATTTTGTATATTTTTTGTAATAAACATGTAGTCGCGTCTTAATTGTAAAGGTGCGTTCAGATTACGCTATACAATGCGCTATATAGTATAGTATAGCGCGTATAGCAAGCCCATATAATATATATAGTATAGCGTAGTGGGCATGTGTTCTATGTGAATGTATGGAGCGCAATATCGTGCTATGAACTTTATTTATGAGTACAGCGTAGTATAAAGAACAAATCAACAATCAACTTAACAAATCTGTGTCCACACGAATAATCAAAATCAGTAAACGATCCTTTTAATAGCTATAATAAAAAAAGGATCATATAAAGGCATACGGGTATCAATTGTACCAAATTGGGATTAAAGACCAGTTGATTTTCATTCGCTTAAAAATAGCTTTGAAATTGTTAAATTACTTAAAGAATTTAATTTGCCCGCATCCCTAAATTCATATTATAGTAGATTAAATAGTAGGTATTCAACTAAACAGCAACTTTGTTTACCACCCTTTTAACATAAAAACATAAAGGTCAGAAGAAAATAATGTTGATTTTCAGTAAATTTTGCGACAGCAAGCTTGTCGGAAGCGCGATATTTCAATAAGGTTATTTATTCATTGATAGTTTGAATATTTTATCGCTTATCTATAATGTTTAGTACAACGTGATTGTAGATAAATAGATAAATAGACATAATATAGAACATTGATTTCATCTCTGATAAGACAGATACAGATAGTCACTGCCGTGCTTGGCTAAGCTCAAAAAATCGCTGAGTCACGATTACAGATAAAATACGGTAACATAAAACCACAAAATCATCGTGATAGAGTTCCGTAGGTTGACACATTACTAAACTTCCGTAGATCATTCGTCTGCTATGATCTACGGAATGCGAGCTGTATCTCATGAACCGTAAAAGACAGTTGAAATTTTCACAGAACGGCCGCTATAATGTTAAGAAAAACCCGGACAAGTGTGAGTTCATTTTTAATAATAGAAAGTTTTTTTAAACATCATTTTGTAGAGTTTTTCAAGAGCTACAAGGTTTGTAAATTCTCTCCAAACCTCTTTAAATACCTTGGTTTTAAAATGGAGTGAGTTTAAAGGGCTCGGATAAGTCGGTGCTTGCTCGTAAATAGATACTCTAAGCGGCCATATCTCACCAAATATATATTGTCTAGAAAATCCACGCAAAGCAAAATTATTTGAATCAGTAAAGTTACAATTCAGTACCTACCACAACATTTTTTCGTAACTTCTGTATTTTTGAAATAATTTTGAAGAGAAGTGATTTTTTAAAGAAATTGCACAAAATCGTATTTCGCTTAAAGCTAAAATTTTTCTCAAATTAAGCATTTTAAATTGGTCAAATTCTAGCATTTATACACATGCCTACCGCAGGTGTATAAACTCTTTCCGAGGTGAAAAGCGATTATGTTCTTACAGAATAGTACTGCAGTTTATTGCTCGTACACAGACAACAATAAGCTACTAGGTATTTGTATAAAAAAAATGCTACTCACCTATCCAAGATCCCATGTCATCGTTGATTTTCATGGTGGTGTTTTCAGTTCGCAGTTGCGGCAGAGCCACGGCCGAGAAGCCTATCGGGTGACCGGCACCAGCCGCCAGGATTAGCACCGCACATGTTATTAGGCACTGGAACAAATAACAATAATTATATTATAAACTAGCGGCCGCCCGCGACTTCGTACGCGTGGAGTTAGTTAGAAATAAAGGTTCACTGCTCGTTCCCCGTAGGTGATAGCGTGATAATATGTAGCCTATGTGTTGACCCGACTTCTTAATAATATTCGTGCCTTTGAAGTAAATCCATGCAGTACTTTTTGAGTTTATCCCAGATATACATACAGACAAACAGACAAAAATTCTAAAAACTATATTTTTGGCTTCGGTATCGATTGTAGATCACACCCCAAGTATTATTTAAAAAAAATATTCAATGTACAGTTTTGACTTTCCTACCATTTTATTATATGTAGAGATGCGAAAGTGTGATTGTCTGTCTTTCTGCCTGTCTGCCCCAGAAATAATCCATGGAGGAGGTGAAAAGGGGAGTAGAAGTTTGTATTGAAAACCTATTTTTTTACGCAGACGAAATCACGGGCAGACGGGTCAGTGTTATAGATAATTTCCGGTTTTTCTATCATTTTCTATCGGATTTGGTGTCATCGGATCATTTGTGATTCCATTAGTTCTCGTTATAATAACCATCGGCGATAAAATCGATATCCGGTTCATACAATCGATTATTTAAATTCCTAATAATTTTATTTTATACTTAATAGTCTTCATTCAGTATTTTTTACACTTACATTATTTCCTTTCCCACCATCCATGCGGCGCAGTCCTGAGACGGACTCTCTGTATAAATTAGTGTGTAATGTAGGTACCTTCCTAATCTTAAAAAAAACTGTCAATTGTATATAAAATTATACCAGACTAAAAAATTAAAGCGTTCTACTCGACTCTAAAATGGCTCGCTCTGACGCTTGTTCAGTTTTTTCTACGTATTACAAAGTCCATTTTCAACCTATCGAAACGATGACATAATTTTAAGTGGTTGGATGGGCTACTTGAATATAAACTTTGCACCATACCTGAATCTGATTAATTCTAAGTCTCAAGTCATATGGCATTTGAATTGGTGACTCATTGAACAACATGAAATAGCAAAAAACCAAGTGCGCTCGGATTTATATACAGATGGCATAATGTACATTTGAAATGTACCGATTGATAAGGTTGGGAAAGATATGCAGAACAACCGGCAAGTTTTTGTTAAAGTGTAACTTTTTATTAGATCGCCCCCAATATTTTCCGTTCATCTTTAGCATGTCGCATTACATTTTAAACTGTTATTAAAATTTAGAACTTATTAACAAGCTTCTGTAGTTCAGTGGTAGAAAGCTCGCCTCCTACGCCGGCCGCTCGGGTTCGAATTCCAGCCGAGGCAGAACTTTTTTTATGATTTTAAAAGTTTCACTTGCATCGTGGTTCCACAATCACACCATTTTTTATTTTATTTCTTTGTCACAACATACACGGGAAAATTTTTACTTTCTACCTATGGCTCATATCATCCTTCGGATGCGGATCCATTAAAATGCAGAAACTACTAGTATCGTAATAAAAAGTTTTACGAAATATTAATGTCAATCAAAACAGAACAAGAATGAAAAAAAAAATAATGAACGCTCAATAGGTCGTAGGTAATAAGAATATTTGCTTTAGGTTCGTATAGATTTAAAATGTTTACTAACATTAAATAATTATCTATTGTTGATTTAGTTCTAGACGTGAATATAGAAATATTTTAAAATTAGTGTGCTGATGAATATGATCTCTTTTATCACAACATTTATAAACGGGTTATAAAAAAAATCATCCAAAAATTACAAATGAGGTAGGTATGCCAATTAAAAATTAACACGGTTCAGCAGTGCTATTCTGTAAAATATGCTATTCTTTTATTCAAGTCAACCTTAGGCCCTGCCAGAATATTAGCGCCGCAGCGGCCTTGGTGTCGTTGTGGCATTGTGTTGAGGCAGGGACCTAGTTGACCTTATTCTGTTTGTTATCTATGCTTTTTATTTGTATTTTTTTTTATGGTCAATAAATAATTTCTTTCTTTTTTTCTTTCTAAAATTTTCTCGCGCGGATCCGAAAAATTTTCAGGATAGCACTGCAGTAATCGTCGCGCCGCGGTTAAATTAGTCCACTTACAGTGGAAGATTAAAAACAAAATATGAAATAATTTACTTTTGTGTCGCAGTTTGTAAGAATATAATTTTCATTTGGCGTTGCAATTAGTAAGATTTATTTCAAACGGGGAGTAGCTGTTTAACTGCAACTTCATTTTGGAAAAGTCCAAGATATATATAGGTGTAACCAATAGAGATTTCGCTAAAATTCCTATTGTATATTATATTCACGTTTCTATATTCACACCACCATTCATCTGATGTGTTCAATTTTTAGCTTATTTAAGTATTAGTTAATTATAATTATATTGTTTTAAACGTTCATTGTCATGGTCACAGAGTTTTAAAACGTTTTAAGAGATAATATAATGCGATTCAAATAAGAATAGGAAAGCCAATGACCTCCATCTGTCAAATGTCGCTTGAAAAGTACGATTAGCAAAAAAAACTCGGATCACTTTTTTAGCACTCAGTAGATTCTAGAATAAAAACGAAACATTTTTAAAACAAGCAATAACAAATGTGGATAATAAATATTAGTTGTTTTATTTTTAATTTATTGAGCTTTGGCTATGAATAGTTGATAACCTAAATCGTCAACCAAATGTCACTTTATGGTGTGTTCAAAAACTCGATTTAAAACTTTCGTTTACATATAGGATGCATATTCGTATGTGACCTGCATGATTATTCATAACTTCTCCGGCGGTAATACTCGTACAGAGATGAGCGAAATTGAAGAACTAGATTCTGATGAATGTTTTTTTTTCACACAGTCTTAATAAAGAAATACTGTTAAAAATCGGTTGTCTTCTTTCTCAACCTTAGAAAATTAATTTTATTAAAAAATCTGATGTTTTGCCTCACTTAATCTTAGTAAATAAGTTTTAATAAATAGCAACTATTTTTGTTCACTCTACCTATTTGGTTTGAATTGACAGCTATGACGTCAAAATATGGCGTCCAGTCGGTCCTATTATTAGTTGAATCGCATTATAGGTATGTTACCTACAATGATTTGTATATGTAATTGCCAAATTTTTTACATGCCCAGCATTTGGCAATGTGTCGTAAACGTAACAGATATTTTCGTAATAATGTATAGCCGTGAGGAGTAAAATGAGCTGTAAAATACAAGAGGTTTTTTGTTGTTCTTGGTCGTAGATCTATATAGTGTTATTAGGCTTTTTTTTTGCTCTATTTTATTTTTATTTTATTGGGCTTGGGACAGAGAATCTTTGGAGCTTTTAAGGCCCTAGTCTTAGGCGAAGGGATCTCTTCACAGTGTTGCCAGATCCAATTTACTAAATACGCGAGGTGTACCAGTAAAAATCCAGGAAATGTATGGTGATATTATAAAAACTCTTCTCTTTATAAATGTTTTTAATGTGCAGGACCCATGAAATCACCCCGGGCCACTTACGATGTGAACTAGAATTCCCTAGAATTAGTAAATTAAAATATACGTCAGTTACGAATGCCTGTATAGCTTTTGCCGCAAGTTACATAAACTAAAACTTTCAAAGCGTTGCTATCAAATATTTAACTTTATTTCATTAGGTTAAAGTATAGTTTAGGCTACGCATTTTACAAGTTTATGTTAAAGCTTTTCTTTTATTTCGTTTGACGCAGTTTTTTCGTAAAAAAAGTTTAATCCGTGGTGATCTTGAAACATTGGGAGTTTTGAGTGGGAATCCGGGCATTGGGAAATATCACGGAAAATCGGGAGATGTGGCAGTGGCAACAGAGTCGCTTTACTTTCGTGTTTCATCTATGTTGCTGAATGGAAATAGAGGGCGACTCTACAGTATTTATTGGTAGTACATAAAACATAATGTTTGAATCATCAATTTTGTAGTAAGGTACAGTGTATTAAATTTAATGAAAACCCTATGAATCTTATATGATAATATATGAAAACCAAATAATGTTGTCTGTTCTTATGTATATTACGAAAGTTTATTCGTTATTCTTACGCTGATGTAATTTGACATCGATAATGTTGAATAATATAGCAATACCTAGAAGCATTAATTTTCTGTTCTATAAAAAAAATCGAACTGACATGCTACGAATTTCAAAGTCGCATTATATTTGGAATCACAGAAACCGCAGTCGAAGGCGTCCGAGTTTTACGGAGGAGGATATAAAGCAATAGGGAACAAACAGCCTTGGTGAAGTCACGCCAACGGTATTGGGTATTGATTCGCATCAATTCATATTGTCTTCTACGTCAAAGGCACGTAACGACAAGTAGGTAAGTATTTAAAACACAGAAATGAAATGTTTTCACAGTGCTAGTACATCCGTTGTCGTTAGAAAATTATCTTTACAAACACAACTGTATTAAATCGTTGTTAGTGGAGCCATAATATTTATGCGAATTAATTATATGGTCAGCTGTTATTAAAATTGGTTACCAACAAACAAATGTCACTCTTAAATCGTTTGGACATCATACTAATATTTTGTTCAAGTACCTATTTCATTATATACAACAACAATTGTTATTCAAACAGTTCTAAAATATTTTTGTTTGACTACAAATTTTCCACAATAGGTCAGTGAGAGAAATATGTATGTCATTAAACAGATTGTCTGACAGGTGCAAATATTAGGGTTAGGTTAAACCAGATATGTGACTTAACAAAGCGTTAACTGGTTAAATATCTACCCGATATTTATGTGTGTGCCGGCATTAATTTAAAATGAAACCGAAGAATAATTGTTCAGTCAAGTGGATAACAAAACGGAATTATTAAATCATATTTCACGGCAATGATCATAGCCTTGACAATGAAAAATACAAACCAATGAACATTTGCCTTGACGTTTAATAGTCTCGCTTCAGTTATATAAGAGTTTTTCAGAAATACGTTTATTTCTCGATAAATTAATGTTAATGATGTATGTCACCAATAATAAAGATATATGCCGCATACCACATTCCAAACAGCTTTGTATTATTTCCAAAGTTGACAAAGAAATAGCGAACAAACAAATCGAAATACAAAATTAGGTTAACAATCGATCATCAAAGGGGATGGCAGCATATTTTTTATCGTTTTAAAGTAACTTAAATTTTAGTATGCACAAATAGAGGAAGTCTACCTACTCGATTCGTATGCATTGAGGAGACTACCATCAGAATCAATGAATGTTTCAAATTGAATTCTTAAATTATTTTTTTAACAAATTATTCGACTTTTTGCAAGTATGGAATACTTGCAAAAAGTAAAAATACCAAAATTTTAGATCTGAAACTCAGTCCGTTTACGGTCTAGAGATCCGTGACATACGGACAGACATACAGACGACAGAGTGACAGCAAAAGGGTTCCGTTTTTACCCTGTGGTTACAGAACCTTAAAAAATAGGCACATGAAAAGGAAAAGTTTTTCTTTCTTTCTTACCCTAGCATGTATCATTGTCTAGAGCTCGTTGAGCAGGAAATAAATATAACTTTTATATTATTATTTTTTCAATAGCAAAGCAAGAAACATAATTATAATACTATTTAATGGCGGACTAGCACAATATGATGGGCGCTAACGATTGCAGAATTGTAGATGCAGCCGGGGCTAACGGTTTGACATGCCTTCCGAAGTGCGAAGTAGCACGAAATAATATTTTATTGGTCGCCCACCCGAAGACAAGCGATTGTGAAAGTTGCTGAACTTTTACAATTTCAAACCAAATACGCTTACCAATAGGCTATTTGGCAAGGTTTTTGTAAAAGACCAACGTGGACAATGGATACCTATTTCAGTAAAAAAACGAAAATAAAAATTCTGTTTTCAAATATGCCGCGGAAACGCTTCTCTAGCAAATGGCGTCTTACAGGGCAGGTGACCTCACATGGCTGTCATTAAAACGTTAAACAGTACAAAGTTATTTCAGTTCGATGTTTACAAACATGTGACGTCATTTTAGGCTCCGCTAAACCTAGGCCACGGTAATAATATCATAAAGTATTCTATCTTCATACAAACGGTCGGAAAGCGAGTCATACCTACGCCATTCGAGTTCGATGTGCTCTCGGCGGGCACCCAGTCGCGAATGCGCCGCCGCGCCGCGACGACGACCGAACGGTCTGAATTGTTTTTTATGCAGTTAGCCGTGCTTAAACGTGCGTTTTGTATTGTAAATATTTGATTTAATTAAGTAGATACCTACATAATTTAGTATGGAAAAGAACAAACGACGATCAATATCGTACAACAGCACAATTGCTGTTTTTGGTTGCTTGAACTCTTCAATAACACACCCAGAGATATCATTTTTCAAATTACCTGAAATATTGGAAAGGTGTCGTACCTTTATAGAATATTTTTTATATACCTATCTACTAGTACGTTATTTGTTTCTAATATTTAGGTATTTCGGTTTTTCCATCGGGCAAAATATCTGGAATAATATATAAATAAGTGGTTAGGATGAAAAAGGAGACAAACGAGTAATCTACCTACACTCGCGTTAAAAACAAAACTACATAAAATACTGTAGGCTGGCGGCCCTACCGCGTGCCAACGCAGCGCTCGGTCGTAGGCATTTATTTTCAAGGACAGGGCGGAGTCACAATACTGTATAGATAATATTACCGTGCCTAGGCGTTTTCGGTCATGTGACAATAGACCAAAAAATACTTTTCTATTTCATGTTGTATAGTCATATTTTATTATCAACTATTTTTTTTGTCAGCATAGTGAAATCGCTCCCAATATTCATGTTTAAATACAATTGGTACTTTACTTTTCAAACTGTCAAATAGACTATTGCGCTTTTGAGCTCCTATTTAATTATAACCAACCTGATTGAAAACTCCTCGGACCGAAGAGTAAGTCTCTCCTTTCACGTAGGGTGGTAAGGTGGCTGTGGAACTGATGCTGCGGAGGAAGCTCTGCAAGGCTTCGTACTCGTCCTCTTTGCTGGTGTCCTTACTTGTGATCGTCGGCTTGAGGTCGTCTGTGAGCATGGATTCGTGGGCGCCATCACTGTCGACAAAACATAACATCAATACTTTTCTGAAATCAACAAAATAGAAGAAATAATAAAGTATATACAGATTACTTTTTCTTTCTGCATTGATAGATCAGTCAGTCAGTAACCTAACTAACTGACCTATCAACGCAGAGCTCAAACAAAATAGTAAAAAATTAAAAAACACGACTGCCGTTAAAAAGTAAACTAAAAACTAAAAAGTTTCTAGCATTCCTTTCGTTTCACAGGTAAATCCGTTTATTAATGCTACTACATTTGTATATACTTATTTGTCATGCTCACAATGACCTTTTAAATTATACCTATATATTGTAATAATTAGAAGACTTTTTTTAATTGACATGAATTATTGTCATTTTGACATTGCTGTTATTTCAACTTTAACAGTTTAGGTATTCTATGTTACCTGGGATAGGGAAAAGATTTTAACGATACCACATACTTCGAACTCGGTTCAGGCACGGTAATATTATATGATATTATTACCGTGGCTCAGGCGTTTCGAAGTTATGGTGGAATAAACAATTGTACCTACCCTGAATATATTACACTTTTTTTTGGGAGTCGTGTAATAAAAATATTTAATATAATCTGACGCGAGCATGACCACGGGCAAAAGATAGCTCTGTATAAAATGAAACAATTATATTTGTAAGTTTTCCTTAATAATTTAATTATACTAATATATTTCATTTTTTTAATGTATATAAACGTGTAATGCAAAGATATCAATCGGTTGAGGATAACTGCTTCAAAATACAGTTGCAAGATTTTACCCAAACCATGCCAGTTAAATAAAAGCTTTTTATAATAGGATTATTATTATTTATTTCTTTTTTTATTACGTGGATAAAATAACGAATATAAATTATTTGTTTGATAATCACTTATTTTTTAAATGTTAATTAGATAAATTTTTGCTTTCTCATTTCGTATGCAGTAACATAATGAAAAATGAAAATGAAAATATATTTATTGGAATAATTTATGAAAATTAAGGTTACATGTATAATTAGGTTCGTTAATAGCTATATTAGTTTCTAGAACTGTGTTACAGCTATTAGCGCCCACCTTCAGATACAGAGACGTGTGTTCCATAAAACATAAATAAATAAAAATTACAGTCCTTATCTTACCATTTACTTAAAAATAAAAAGTATGTATGTGTGTGTGTGAGTCTATAAGTACCTATGATGTGCCTATGATAAACTCAAATGATCCCAAATGTCAATATGACTATTTACAACAACTGTTTTACAGTTATTTATTACAAGGCAATATAAATAACTACCCTTTAAGCCTTTTACATATTTTTTTATAACTAAAAAAATTACGTAAAAGTCTTAGTGTACATTTATTAAATAATGTTTATGCAAAATTTGCAGTCAATAGGTCCAAGGGATAAGATTTTACGAACAAACGTTTTTTTGCAAATTTCACGCTTACGAGGCTGAATTTCAAAAAGATCCCTCGTCTAGACAATAATAGGAACCTACTGTCAAAATATCACCGTTCTAAGTCCAACCGTTTTGGCTATGCATTGATGAGTCAGTCTGTCAGTGTATCCTTATCTCTTTATATACTAATAGTATAGATATAGAGGAGAAATTTTAGAATATGCAAACCTTGCTACGGCCGATAGTACGATGTTTTCTAAGAATTTGTGGGTAAGAAATGGCGGTTATCTCTAAATTGTGATGGCCATTAAAAATGGCAGGAAAAACAATGATCTTGAGAATAGAATCAATAATAGATTTAATGGATTTTAACACATTTCCTAAAAAAGTGCATTTACATTGTTCAAAAGTTCAAAATTACGGGCCATACAACGGAGCTCTCATACATGGCGCCGTGCTTATCCGTTACGGTTTGTTTTTTAAATTTCGATTGATTCTCCTTGGTTGCGCTTTTAATCAATACCTTTGTCTCACCTTAATACTAAAAAGAAAAAGAAATGAAAGATGTAGTAAGTACTAATTTTCACATACACGTTTCGCCATTTGTTAATGCGCGCCATGTTCTTATTAGATGAAGTTTGCATCATTACATAAATTAGATGTAAACTAGCAAACCAGTGAACCAAATGTTCACGAAAAAAAGAAAAAAAAAAAATTAATTGAGAACTTCGGAGATTTTGTGTGGTTTCGTTTGAAATAGAAATCACGTGATTTCTCGAAAACCGGAAGTGCTACGTTACTCACATCCGGTTTGTAGTCTTATCAGACTATTCTTAACTTATAACTTAAACATTCTCTATATATCTATCTCTTACGGTTTGGCCGCTGAAACAGCACCACGGACGGACGGACGGACTTGTCTAATAGATAAGAGATACCTACTGTTTTCTCGCAAATGTGTTGAAAAAGTTGTATGAAATACGTGCGGATTTGGTATTTACAAACTCACATTTCGACATTCCTCTACTCGTTTGTAATAACCAACTTACCGCACTTATATCACAAATAACTATAATTTAAGGAAACAAAAATATCATTTCAATTGTAAAATACTTATTTATGTACCTATTATATTGCAACATATTTGTGGTTGCAGTAAATCATAGAAAAGTAAGTGTTATTAATCTACATTATATTGTACTTATAAAACTTAAACAAATTTATTAGCATCAAGCAGGGATTGAGATAAGTTACATAGTAGTTATACTTAGTACTTGCCTTTGAACTTTAATAATCCTCAATTTCTTCCTACAGTAAAGAGCGTAGCCGCACAAATATAGAACCATTATTTTATCAAATTAAATGACAATAAATACTCAGGACCCTATGCTGTCGCCGTCGCTTCTGAGGACAATAGCTAATGACGTCATTAAAAACGACTATCACACAGCTTGCAACCTTTGGGTCATTCAAATGTTACCACTATTCTTAGGAGATTTAGGACATTTAAAAAAAGTGGGTATGGAATTGTAAAAGATTTGTTAACAGCTGGGCAATGATTGCGAAAATGACGAATAATTGCACATATTAAATCTACATCAACATGAAACAACTATAGAAGGCCACATTTGTGGATGTATGTACCATAAATTTGTAAATACCGTAAGATTATTATCTATAGAAAAATAGAAATATGTTACGGTTCACAATTTTCCGACAGTTTATAATCTCGCGAGATAGATTATAATCTAACGGTATTAACAATTTCATGGCGACAGATATGTTGTAAAGTAAGGTTCCAAGGTAGTAATGGGCAAAGCGTGAAGTCTGAGTAGGCAGTAAACTAGTGATACATTGGCAACGAAAGCACGGTAATATTATATATATTACCGTGACGAAAGCTACTGTGTGCTATGATGGCCGCTTACCGTCAGGCAGGCTATGTCCTATGAGTTTGGTTCATTGCCACCATTTTACATTATTAAATATAAACATTATGCTCAGGCGTACGTGTGAAATCAGTAGACAATTAGAACCAATTCAATCTGAATGGTTATTTTGCAAACTTTAATAACAAGATCGAAGAGAAGACAATATATCGCGGACTTGTAAGAGAAATTAGAGGATCGCGTTATGTGGCGTTCGGTTAAAGATAAATATAGGTAGTTGTGTGTATTTAATCAACTGGCAGTCGTACGTTCACAGTACAATTGTCTGAGCATGATGCAAGAATGAAAACGAACAATCAAGACTGTTTACAGCAATTTGTCCACATCACTGTGATTGAGATGATTCTGGAAATTTTATTTTGAAGGCCTTGCTGATATAATGATGTAGATTATTATAAATGGCAATTTGATTTTATTAAGGTTTTCCCTATACATTTGAACCCATTAAATAACTGTTTTATTTCTAAATTGAGTGTTTCTACACTATTATTATTAAAGCTGTTAGAAACTTATTTAAAGTTTTTGAAGTTATACTTCTTTAGGCGCGTTATGAAAAAATGATGAGAGTGAAATTTTAAGATGCGCGCGCATCACTGTAACACAAAAAATTAACAGCATGATTCATGCTGTTAAGTAGTAGTAGTATATGCAGTTACTTTTGTTTTTACCGCACATTAAGAAAATCTACCAACAAAATAGAAATAGAATCTCTATTTAGTGGGTGCTAACGACTGCATTGTGAAGGCCTATCAAAAGTATTTATTAATCTGGAACAACGGAACCAAAGCGCGATTCAGGAGACTACAGCGCCATCTCTTGACCATTGGTGTAGTAGAACCAAAAACCACATCTTTATTTTTTGTAATAAAGTAACAGTTATAGGTATTCATATTTATAATATCAAAAGTATTTATTAATCTGGAACAACGGAACCAAAGCGCGATTCAGGAGACTACAGCGCCATCTCTTGACCATTCGTGTAGTAGAACCAAAAACCACATCTTTATTTTTTGTAATAAAGTAACAGTTATAGGTATTCATATTTATAATATTTATCCACATGTTTCTAGTTTGTATATTCGGAATACGTGTTTGAGTTTCATACAAGTGCAAATCACATATCGACGGGTCCGAAGAACAAAATCTTATGTAAATTTAAGACAAAATTGATTTTATTATTTTAATGTACTTGCTGTTACATCAGCTATAAGGTAATATAATTATTTTTTTCGTCATACGTTTACTTTATGATATAACCAATCGAACATCATCTTATCCGAAGCGTGATTCGACGAACAATAACGTACGAACATGTACGAACTTGTTCTTCCCAGGCCGCATCTCGCGCGCCGCGCTCTATGATCAGATGCCGGTTTGTTCTTCGCATTGGCGGTCGTTTTGATGGTGCGGAATTGTTTCACTACATTTCGTGTTAAATAATAATTTAAAGAGTGGATACACTATTTAGTGCATAATTTATAATGTCGGCCTTATCAAGAAAGAGAAGAATTTTGGATTTAGCCCTAAATCTAGATAATAATGATAACGATGATTCTACTTCGAACAGAAATACACACGAAGAAAACTCCAATTTAGGTAAGTGATTGTTATAGTTTTCAAATTCAACAATGTAGTAATAGTTGAGTG